TCAGAACACCCTCACCTGTTTGATGTTTTCCGCAGATATCAAAAAAATTACATTGAATACTTACAACTGATAGTCACAAACAATCGCATTAACGATCACAAAACATGTTCTCTAAGCAAGGGCAATTGCTAATGCATTTCCCGCGCGTCATGCCAAAGTTGCGCATGGCGGCATTTTCTCGTTTCCATTCTAACAACGCAAATTTTGTAGCTTTTACTTTCTCGCAAATTACTAACGTAAGAAGAGAAAGTATTGTAATCGTGCGGTGGAAAACAGCGAATTTTCGATATAAAAACTCTTATTGCTGGTAAGGAAAAGGTGGATAAATCCAGTTACTAGACGTGATGTAGACAGAATCCACGTTTTGTGGATCCTTGATACCGTAAAATAGATTGGCGGCAAAACGTCTGTCCGTCCGTGCGCATCGCTAGCGCATTAACCCTTCAGCCGATTTTCGTAATTAATATTATAGGATCTTTCGATGAAAGGCATCTCACGAATGTTCGTAATTAATTTGATGTCAATTGCATATATTCTCATTACTGTATTGATATTATTAGCCTAGCGAAAGCACCTAGTTTTGATAACGCTGCGTTGGCAACAATGCGCTGCTCACTTCTTGGTTGGTTTCGAAATAATAGCTGCGGTGTTGGTATGCAATATTTCAATATTACGCCGTTTCCAATAATGCGAGAAAACATGTGCTGTTGTAGTACCACTAGTTTATTAATAAAGGAAAGCTGCTATCTATTCAATATATAATTTCCTCCATCCTATCTTTTTCCTATTTTTCTCTTCTTTTTGGTAGTTCACTAGTTTAAAACCGTTCACTTGGGGCTGATTAGCGACCACTTTACAGCTTTAATATGTATGATATGAAACAAAGTCGAGTTAATGTCAGTATTTATAACTCAAGAACGGCTGGACCAATTTTAATTATCTCTGCTTTGTTAGCTTAGCATCATCGCCCCGAATAGCTGAATAACTATTAAAATATAGCTCTAATAAAATATTTCTCTATCTTTTGTTTTTTCAAAAATTACAAAAATGTAATTTTTTTATTTGTCTCTCACGGCGTTAATATTTACACTAGCGGCAATCTGTAAAAACTATGGACTCGGTGCGCTTGCGCACTGCGCGCTCCTGTCAGCTCGGACATTGTTTAGTCATCACCGGAAAAGTATCGCCAGTGTTTGCATGTTTTTACGTTTTCTCTTGCCCTAGAAATTACTTTCATATTATTTTTCTACATTATCTTGCTAATAAAGCAGAGATAGATGTAAATTGTTGAATAAATTATTAAATATTGTTTAGTACGTGTATTATGATCTTGAAATATACCATTTTCATGATTTTTCTCTCTCTGAAATTTAAGGTAACAAATAAAAAAACACAGATACAATTTATTTTTTTAAATTTTCAACACAAACTTAAATACATTTGACATAATTTTTTCATATTCATCTAATGTTTAAAATCCTTTTCAGTGTGGAATTTCTCAAAACAATTTCCTGAGTGCACAGCAGGTTCTGCAGGACAGGATTTACAATACAAATTCGTTGTCTTGCGACCATATTTTCTATTGCTGCATACCCTACAATCCCGATTTCCTGTTTTCGAGCATAGTGAATGGAATTTTCCATTCAGCCTGCATTCATCCAAAATGCTGTCTGATAATGAGCGCTCCATGGATTTTGTTCGGTTATGTCTCCAATCCTCCACAAGTTGCATGATCAATTTCTTTCGAAATGTTTTAGCTCGAGTGTTTTCCTCTGGAAAGACCTGTCTGTACAAACGAAATGCATTGGTAATTGTGACATTCAGTAACTATAAAAATAATTTTCTCCGCCACTTGCTTGTTTTCCGTCCAAAAGCGTAAGAGGTGACGTAATGCTTAAGTCATGTCTTCGCCCCCCCCCCATGTATGTGTTGTATTCACAAATTGCAACATGTTTTTCAACTACAGTTTCTATCCACTTTCCATCAACTTTTCTTTTACGAACCACTGCTTTTTTTTTCATTATTGTAGTAAGTGCTCAGTGTGCAGACCAAGCGCTTATCTTTCCAAGCTATTGCAGACATCTTGGATTCTCCTTTCTACAATATTTTTGGTTTACGTATGCATCAGGAAATCCTTTTCTTGTAGTCATCACCGTCCCTGTAAGGTGCACGCCTAAATCCAGTAGCTCAAGTACCAATTGCGGGCTGGTGTAGTAACCATCGGTAAAGACGTGCGCACCATATCCTCCCCCCGCGGAATTAAGGTATTTCATCACAAGGTGCACAGCTATTCTTATTGTGAGAGGCACGTCAGGCCTAATAAGATATAATACCGTCTGCACACCGAAGCATGGTTCTAATACATAAGGATTCCCGTTTTTAGAGTCCGACAATACAAATATTTTGATCCCCCACTTTGTTGGCTTGTCTTTGTTATATGTTTTGAATGACAATCACCCTTTAAACCCCACTGTACTTTCATCCAGCAGATGTGTTTGTTAAGAACAAAATTTTTGGAATTTTTCTTGCAAATATTCAATAATATTTCTAATTCTACGAGAATTACTTCAGATCAAACATGCTGGCGTGTCTTTGTCTGGAATGTCCACATGAAGGTTACATAAGATCTGAGAAAAGCGCTCTCTGCTAAATACTTCACTAAAAAGGCTGATAATTTAATCAGTTTGCACTGAAATAATCTTGAATTTCGGGTTTCTTGTTTAATGCCATATTAAGCAATGCTCCCCAAAAAAGCCTTCAATTCTGCATTTGTGACGTGGACTCAAGTGGTCCAAATACTTCGCGGCGTAAACGGCATATTTTTCCTTACTTTTTCGTCTCCATATCTGTTTCTTCCACCAAACGATCAATCAAATCATCGATAAAAAATAAACAAAAGAAATCTAGTGGAGTTGTAGGTGAATTGATTCTTGGAGGCCCGTATCCCGAACTTAGACAAAATGTAATTTCTCTAAATTTCATTTACTCCGGGTCGATTTCCGGTCGGGGCAAAAATTAATTATGCATTTTGCTTGCAATATCCCAGTATCTGTTGCTGTGACGATGAGAGAGCTCACTTCTCGTGTTGAGAACACCAGAACACAGCTTAGGAATGGTTATGTGCTAACCCCACGTACCCCTATGGCCGCAAGGCCAGGACGCTGCTGTTAGGCTTTAGCTTGCAAAAAGAACTGTTGTGCCAAAGTACATACAAGGTCTTATACAGCTTTTTATAACACAAGTAGATTTCGCGTAATTTTACTTTCGCTCTACGGCAAATTTGTGCATTTCACATAATTTTTGCTTGAAGTATAGTCAATTTAATGAAATTCTCAAAAAGGGTTCCATTTTTCCCTCGAATAGAGCTTAAAAATGGCGCATCATTTTCGTTGAACTTTCAGAATTTGCGAAAACCGCACTCAGTGATAGACAGCTATAGAACTAGTTTATAATTGGCATGTTGAGCTATCAAATAGTGGTATTCTTGTGTTTTTGGAAGTCCCGGGTCGAGCTCAGCGACAGAGAAATTAAGTTCCCTTAAAAGAACGATTCAATGACAGCTGAAATCGAAGAAGTAAAAAAAACATGCTGATACAACATATCTTGTCCCCAAAAGTTGTGTTATAAGGATGAGCACGTAATAATTTCAAATGTGAACGAAGAATGGCATTATATTTGAATCCAAAGAACTCTGATGGTTGAATCTGGAGCGTACTTTAAAGATGTGATCGAGGTCAAGTTTGGTATTTCAAAGTTCACATGTCGTGGGAGATGATTTCAGCAATAGGTAAAGATGGTTTAAATTGGAATCCCCAGATCTTATTCTTGAAAGGACTGATGGTCCCTGCGGTCAATTTTTTTACTGGTTGAATGAGTTATTTTAAAATAGTGTCTCGAATAAGTTATAATATCGCGACATGTGGGATAGTGTAGTGCATGTAAGTGGTGAGGATAGAAGGAAAGATCGTCCACAGACCCTGGCCTATTTGTTAAGATACTTCGGCATTTGCCTGGTATTGATCGGAGAAACCACCGAAAACTACCGATCAGAGCAGCCGCCCGTTACAATCCTCCTCTAGACAGTGGCTGAATTCGATTTAAGTAGCTAATGTGGAAATTTCTCCGTCGGGGAGCGAATCCTACGGCACCCCGATCAGACACACTTTAGTAACATCATTTGATTCCCGGAGCCACTTAAGTCGGCCTGGTCTGTGGAGAATAAATTATTTTTGTGTTGTCGTTTTAAGCCCTTGGTCATTAGCTAAGTTAGTTAAATGTATCCATTCGTTTTGTTTATAGTCACACTCCCTCACCCACGTACCATCTGGAGTCTCCCGCAGAATCCCTGTTCCATCAATCTGCTCAGAAGAAAGTCCAAATAACTCCCATACCAAGCTGGGCTTTACAACTTCTGTCCAATAATTTTACTGTTGGAGGTTACCCTTGGGCCCATTTCTGTGCTTGCATCGTTTTAGGATCCTCGGGGGGAACAAAATCTCCTTAGCACACTATCAACAGCATCATCCAGGGATTTAGACAAGAGTTTAGGTGTCACAAGACAAGGTTTAGTGGTGATACATGTGGGACTGGGAATGCTCCCCATGCCACAAACACTGAGCATTGTGTCTTATGGAAGATTTGAACAGACAACCATGGTATAAACATATTTTTGTGTACCTGTCTCATCCCCACGCACCATCAGACTGACTAAGCAAACTTAGTTTCATTATAATTAATGACTGTTGATTGATGGTACCTTGACAAATTATTTCTGTTTAAAAAAGCATTCACACATAGTAGCATGCATGACAGTTGTTCTGGTGCTTTTGTTGTCACAAAACCTGATACAATCCTTGTTTGCTTCCCAGGCATCCTTGATGCTTCACAAATCAATTGGTCCCCAAATGTTTATGTGCCAATTAACTTGATTTCAGGGCATGTAATGGATTAGTCAAATAACCTTAAGTTCCAATTTCCTTTACATCATTTGAGATTAGGTGATGGGACATACTGATGGGATTTGCCTTATAATTTCACAGTTTTTGTTTTAAAAGTATGAAATGGTATTTAAGAATTGAATTCATTGGTTTATTTGTAAAGTAATGTTGACATTCCAAATATCTGAATAAAAGGTGTTGTCAATATTTTTATTCACAAGCAGCTTTTGATGGCTTAGCCATGATCATCTGGTCCAGAATAAAGATTTAAAACACTAAGCACAAAACAATATAAATATAAATAAAAGGCTACATTAGTAAGTATGTAGTATACAACATAAATTCATTGATAGACCACCTTTTATTCAAATATTAATTTCATTAAATGGTAATGAACATCAAGAGAAAATGATACAAATATTCTTAATTCCATGAAATGAAATTTTCAGACCTCTAAATTAACTTCATTGGGCTCAACTTCAATCTGTGGCTTTAGGATGTTTTACATCTAATTTACCTTTTTTTTTTACAAAGTATTAATTAGATGATGCATAGCACAGTTAGGATATATCACACTCATTTTCATGTTCTAATAAAAATTATTAATTAATTCATTAGCTGGAATTGTTAGTCAATATTCTGAGTGATCCTCATTCACAGAACCCCCAAAACAAAAGTGTGTGATTCAAATTCACAGATCCATAAGTTATGTAAGATGAAAAGTAAAATACTTATTTTGACAAAATTTCCTGCAGATGATTTAGGAGCTAGTGTTGTTCAGAAATGGGCAGGAGAGGCTTTTATGAATAACTGTTTTTTATTTATCAGGGCTCCCTAAAACATACTCTTTCAACATTTTAAGATAGTTTTGCATGACAACTTTCTTTCAATATTCAGCTCTTTGACATATATTATCTACATCAAGGTATAATGTGGTAAATACATTATGGTTCTGCTTTCTCATGCACAAGAACAGATAGTAACCATTATCTGTTGCTTCCGTTAAATACACAAACAAAAGGTTTTCAAAAGGAGTAAAAATGCTTATGCAGGTATGAGATATAAATGTGGATGAATAATCCCAGATATAAGTTGATAATTTAGAATTTGAAATTTTGGTTATGTTTTCTATCCACTTTTTGTCCCAACAATAGTTAAGTATTAACTTGCTTCCGATTCAAACATTTTGTTTTCATGGAAACACCAAGTAACAGTCAGTGAATATAACAGAGTGCATATGAAGTGTCATCAGAAGTTAAATGTGAAGTCATTTTAAGTATCATACAAGGTCTTCAAATTATAAACATTTTTGAAGTAATAACCATTTGTACTTTACGGCAATTGATCTCTACATGGATTTCAGAAGCACTTCCCTACTTTAAAAGGGTTGTCAGTTTATAGCTAACAATGAAATATATGATTGAATGTTTGGAATATTATTATATATTAATAATAATTATATTTATATTAATATTGAATGATTGGAATATAAAGTTGTCGAATGACTTAATGAAATATGAATGATTTGTTTTAAGAACATACTAAACATACTAAGACATCTTTGCAGTTAAACTTCAATGTTTTTTATTTACAATAATAATTTGCATGTAATATACTTAAACATTCCAAGGAATAAATAACATAATAACTGCAATAAATACACAATGCTGACCTCTCAATTCACACTTTTCTTTGCTGTATTTACTTCAAGTTCTGCTAAAATACTGAGTATTTGTTCCTATATTTCATTCAGGGCCACCTCTCTGAAACAGAATAAAAATGTTTCCTTTAAACAACATAAGCAATGCAAATAAATACCAATGCATTTATAAATTAAAATTAATATTATAATTGAAAGAAACCTTTCCTAAAGAAAATGCTTAATATTTTTCAAAGGGTTATCATGGAGCAAACTAAAAATTCAACAAATGAAAACCCAAAAGTTTCCTTCACAAAAGTGTCCACTTAAATCAGAACTTCATAAATCGTAAGTTTGCGGTGTCCCAGTTCATGTGTGCGGAACTGTGACGTTCTGCTACGCATGTGCAGAAAGTTGAGGATGAGGCTCAAGCCTTCGGCCCTCACGTTAACATAAATCATCCTAGAGTCTGACCCAATGCATTTTATACAAATACTCATCTTAAAAATCATTTAATCATTTGGCGGATATGGGTATGTATGTGTTCTGTGCTCGTGAACGATGACGTAAAGGACACCAAAGGCATCGGGACACAGCAAACGTAAAATCAACTCTGAACTCTTTTAATAAAAATACAAGAATTGAAAAATGTATTTAAATTATGTTATATTTTTGCGCATTTACATTACCTATTTACATGTACCAATAATATTTTTACCTTTTTGTATTTAAATTGTATATTCAAGAAACTAAAGCAAAACATAGTGTTAATTTCCAACTTAGCTTTTTCCCTGATAATGCACTTTCAAATTCATTAGCACACTGGTAAAGACAAGTGTCAAGTCAGGATCACTAGTTAGTTAGTACTAGTTAGTACATACATTGATATACTCAATTTCTTGTTCGCTTAAGGGAGCTCTTCGATACTTAGGAGGTAACTGATAATCTTCTATTATAGGCTTTTGAACAGTCTTCCCAGGACCTGGAGGGGCTCCAGATGGTGATCCATGACTAGGTACATTAGGGCCACCGTGAGCTCCTGTTAAACGTGGGTCTATGAAAAATTCACTAAAATAGAAATGTATTAACACATCTCTACACATTTAAATACAATTGACCTTACCACTGGCCTGGAGCCCTCCTTTACGAAATTTGATGAGTGGAACATGTGGCTTTACAGTCTGAAACAAAATAAACTCGTATATGTCAACAATAATGTAACACATAAATCCATTCATCTATCTTTGTTTGTGCTTTGAGAACTAAGTACAAGTTGTACAAGTTTATTTCAAAGAATCATTCCTTTGATCACCATCACTTATTGTTAATACCCAACATTTTTATAATAAAGTTTTTGATATTTTCAACAACGATATAAACTACGAGTTGAGTGAATTTTAAAAGTATCCACATACCATCCATGCTCTTACTGCCGTCGTAACTCGCATGTTGGAAACGTATAATTTAATGACTCCTGTCACAAATTAACAACAGATCAATAGGCTTTTATGAAATCCAAAAATTTCGAAAATCCATTCAGGAGGTGTACGAAAGAAGAGGTTCATACACACCTGGAATCTCTCAGCACTATTGTACGAACTACGCCCTCTGACACTGCTCTGACCAGGTTCTGACAACGATCCTCACATTTTCAATTATACTAGCGCACGAGCACTGTCATTTGTTTTGAGGTGTGCTGCCAAATTCTATGTAAACTCTATAGTAAGACCACAAAGTATGGTATTAAAATTGAAGACTATGAGGATATTCTTCCATTCTATGACCACAGCATAACATACTGCACAATAACCACTAATGACAATCATGTATGATTGATCATGACAAGCCATTATCACTAACTCACTGTTTTAGTTTGTAAATTAGATATTATATTTCATTGTTGAAGAAGCCCGCCATTGTTGAGTTTCAGCTGATTCAACGTCGTCGCAATGTGCAGTTATTAGTCCGTTAAATTACTCAAATTTGATAAAAGCACAATATACTTATTATACCCGCACATTGTACGAGGAATTGATTACACGTATACTGAAATTAAAGTTTGATAATTTTAAATTGACTACTTTCATTTAATTGTAGAGTGTCTGAATTAACCAGAAAAAAATTCTTAAATATAAACTTAACCTATTTCTACGTTAAAAGGGGTGTTGGCCCCTGCAGGGCGCGTGTGCCAGGTGCCCACCTAGGTGGTGTTGACCGAGTGCCACCAGATAGACAACCATGTTCTACCAACCACATCTGAAATTGCCATTTGAGGTTACTCTTTTGTTAATCGCACAAAAAATAGTCCACTTTTAGGGATTTAATTTTTTTAATCGAATAGAGTAAAATATGCTTATAAAAATGGCGCGGGTCCAATTTTCATTGAATTTCCCCTGAATTTCCAAAAACAGTTCTTGCATGAGTCTTTAAGAACATAGCCGTGAGGAAAGGCGGCAGTTTGCAGCGACTTGTAGGAAAGTGCCAGTGTGCCATAGCACCACCCGCAAAAAATAAGGAAAACAAAGTTTTCGCCGCAAATGTGTGTATAAAATAATGTTTCTTCAAAATATTTTTTATTTATAGTAATTCATTTGAACGAGCGCTTACTCATTCGATTCTCTATCAATATTCTCTTCAAACGCACAAGACGCAGTGCAACCCGTCGGCCTCCTCCTAAACCTCTGAGCCACCTGCGGATTGGCACCGTCTCTGCCCATTTAAGGCCATATGAAGAACACCGCTAGTTTGCATGCTTCTCTTATGAATGAGAGAGTGCCAAAATCGAAGAAGCACAATTGTTCCCATTCTGTTCCGTAGAGTGAACTAAGGGCACTATCTTCATCGATCAAACTATTTCTCGCTCTGGATGACCCCGATATCCTGTTATTTCGTACGTCTTTTCTTCTTTCGCACATGGAGAGGCGGCGTACGCCCCGGGCGTAAGGTCGTATCGTTCTTCAGCGAACTCATGAAGCTGTGACCTCTTGAGATAACTGTGGGCGCTAAGACTTTCATCACTTCTTGAATTTTGTGATCTAACTGGCCAGAAAAGGCACTTCTGTGGCATATAATTAACTTTTGCAATCCACAAATTTTTATTTTAGACAAAACTCATCTGTAAAGGACTAGGAAACCGAAAAATTAAGATCTTTTTTTAAATGTACTATGGGCGGCGATAGACGGCAGATGGCAAACGTATGTGGCAAGCCCGAATAGATAGCTGAGACCAACGGAAATAGAAAACTTAAAACGGAAAAGTCTGTACCATTCTGTAGCACCACTAGTTTCATTGATGTCAAAAGGCTTCCATTCCCGAGGAATCCCATCCAACTTTTGAGTAAGACCTTCGATTCCTTTTGAGGACAGTTCTCTGTATATGATATATCCTCTGTGCTGACGATTACACAAGTACGAAGAACGAAAAATATAATTTTGTTTTCACAAGTTCTATTTCAGAATCCAAAAGAGAGTCCACAATAGCACTTCAAAGAGACATCAACACGAGTAAAACAAATTCGTACCGTTCTTCCTTAACTATTATTTTGCTTTTTCAAAGACTACAAAAATCTAATTTTTTGACTTTCTCTCGCGTCCTTAATATTTATATTGGCGATTATTTGTTCACATAATTCTTTATGAGTACATGTGCTTTAAATAATGTCGGACAGTTTCTCAGCAATTCAACCGATTTCTGAGAAAACTTGTTCAAAATTCCGTATTTTCAGAAACGCTCAAACGCCATTTTTTCAGAAAAGGTTCCAAATTTTTTCTTCAAACTTCTCGAACGCATAGTGCTAATTGTACTATTTAATGTGACGTAAAATTCATTTTGCGGTATTTTTTAATTACACAAATGTAAGTTTTTTAAATAGATATCTCACGCCGTTAATATGTACTTTTCCAGCAATTTGTATAACTAGTAAGTTTTTCGAAAACTCAAAAAATTTCTTTTAAAAAAAGCTTTAAATTTCGAGTTTACAGTAGCGCTTAAACGCCATTTTCTTAAAAATCGCTTCAAATTTTGCTAAGAAAATTGCTGTTTAGGACAAGGTTTTACTCTTCTTTAATATTCTCTAAGTAATAACTCGATTCTACTGTTAGGAAACGGAATAATTGGGAATTTTTTTTTAAATATGTACTTTGGACTATAGATGGCAGCTACAAGAGTATGTGGCAAGCCCGAATAGTTAGCTGAGACCAAATGAAATAGAAAACTAATTCGGGAAAGTCTGTGCCATTCTGAAGCATCACTTGTTCATTTACATTTTTAATACAGCCTCTACTTCCACATGAAGACAAAACATGATCGTTTCTTCGTGTTTTCCAGTCTTGCAGGTGTATATCCAGCTTGAACGCGATCGGTGCCAAGACGAAAAAAAAGTAATGAAGAAATGTACAGAAAAAGGCAAAATAGCAAAAAGACCTAATGAAAATCAAATAAAACAACTCCAGAAGTACAGTTGAGTGAATTCTACTGTTAAAAGTCATAAAACAATAACAATAACGAAAAGGCGTTTTGTCAAACTTCCGGGCTCCAATTATTATTATTCCCCTCGTGTGGCTTATAGACAACGTGCTAGCTTTCTGTGAGGCGGTCTCGGGTTTCATGTCCGCCCTGGGCAAAAATGAGCCTGTCACCTTGTAATAAAAATCATCTCAGTTTCTATGGCTGTGTGACGAAAGAAACTCAAGCAACCCAAATGAAGTACAGTGACGGGCATAAGTCATGTTCACTATTCATCTCCCTTAACCCCGGGCGTTGATAGTAAATAAAAACACAGGGCCGTGATCTTGGAACACCTGTAACTGGATTAATCCCTCCCCAAATGCCAAATTCATACATACATTGTTATCATTATTGCTGCAGGTGATGGCGTCGTTGGCAACGATCACACTCGTATCTTAACAAATAATGATATTGTATTTCATTGTGAAAGGAGGTTTCAACTGTTTGAAATTCCCGCAAACATTAACTCATGAATTTAAATTACTCTGAACACAGAATAGACATCAACCAGTTTACCGCAAGAACGTGTATGCCTTGTAGTAGACTCCTACTCTTAGAATATAAGAAGCATAAGAAGCCATGTTCGCCATGATCAAAACCTGAATCGTCATTCCTGTTCTGTGTTGCAGGTCACAATAGCAAAAACATTGTTGATGGGAATATTTTAACACTGTATTTTTGCATGACAACGAGGTGTGTGGTGCATTTTTAAAATTACATTTGTATTTTCATTGCTATCGTATTAAGTGAAGGAAAAAACTTAACCTCTTCGTGGGACAATGGCAGGTGTAACTTTGGAGGATAAATCCATCTGGGAAGATGCCGAGGTAATTATCTTTCTGTATATAATATAACACAAAGTCACTTGTGTAAATTTTAAATCGTTTGCATATTACAAGGTATCTTTTATTTCTATTACATTTGAACAATGATGTGCATAATTGTGAGACCTCTAACCTTAAACTTCGTAATTAGTTATAGTACTGTCAGTTGATGAATATAAAAAAAAATATTTGCGACGTCAATGATTTCAGAATTGTCATGGCTATAGAGAGATTATGTATGGTTATTAATATTATTTTTCATGATGTGTTTATATCAACTTGAACATCTTTCTTTTTAAACCAAAGAAATTTAATCAGACTTATGAATATATCAGTTTTATTTAGTAACAGATAGTAATATTATTGGTTTTTTATTTGTAGATTAAAATTATTTATCTTGACCTCTTCAGATAGTAGTTGTTCTAGAATCTTTCCTTTTAATACTTTCACGTATCATTTCATATTTTCCCCTCTTTGTAAAGTTCTGTCTATTCCACAGTAGTTGTGTTTCTGGAGTAATGTTAGACGACACTTCTTTTTCTACATTTTGTACAGTTATGTAGATAAGTTTTGTATTCTTTATAATCATTGGGTGATGAAAACGAGTATCTGTTGTAGTTTCTGAAGCTATTTTGGTGACAAAAGTATATCAAGGGTTGGAACTGTTTAAATGTATTTTCTTGCAAGTTTGATAGTAAAATTAAATACTCTATGGAAAATACTGCTCTGTTTATTTTTCATTGGTTTCTAGGAATCCCTTGGTGAAGAAGTTCTTCGAATGTCAACTGATGAAATTGTCAGTAGAACTAGATTACTTGATAATGAAATTAAGATAATGAAAAGTGAAGTGATGAGGATATCTCATGAACTACAAGCTCAGAATGAGAAAATTAAGGAAAATACTGAGAAAATAAAAGTAAACAAAACTCTGCCATATTTGGTGTCAAATGTCATTGAACTGCTTGATGTAGATCCTCAAGATCAAGGAGAAGAAGATGGTGCAGTTGTTGACCTTGATTCGCAACGAAAAGGAAAATGTGCTGTCATAAAAACATCTACACGACAGGTAAGCATATTTAGCAAACATTGTGAGCAAACTTCTATTGGAACTGATTCTTTTATAGAACTATTATTAAAGAGTTCATGCTGTTATTAAAGTTCATTTACTAAAAGTTGAAGTATTTACAGTGAATTGTATTGTATTTGAATATTGCTTCCTATCTATAAAAAAAAAAACTGTAATTCATCCTTAAAGGGATGTTTTAGTACTCAAATATCCCTTTAAGGATGAATTACAGTTGTTTTTTTAAGTTGTTGTTGTAGTTAAGAGCCGAAACTACTGAAGTGAAGCTAGGAATATGAATATATGGACAAAAATATTAAATGAAGCTTTTTTTTATTGTTCCCAGACTTACTTCTTGCCAGTGATTGGTTTGGTGGATGCAGAGAAGTTAAAACCCGGGGACCTCGTTGGTGTAAATAAAGATTCGTACTTAATTTTGGAAACACTTCCTGCTGAATACGATGCTCGAGTGAAGGCTATGGAAGTAGATGAACGACCCACAGAACAATACTCAGATATAGGAGGGTTGGATAAACAAATTCAGGAGGTATTTTTGGAAACGAAATTAATTTCCCGTTTATGGTATTGATTAGTTTCTAATTTTTAATTCTCTTCCTTTTTATAGTTAATAGAAGCTGTTGTTCTTCCCATGACACACAAAGATAAATTTGAAAATCTTGGGATTCAACCTCCAAAAGGCGTTCTTTTGTATGGTCCTCCAGGAACAGGTCAGTAATTCAGGTGAATGCCAAACAGAAAAGTGCATAATAACTAAAAATGTAATAAAAAGTGTTTAAAATATTACTAGTTTTGAAAAAAAAATTGTACAGGAAAAACACTCCTTGCCAGAGCATGTGCAGCTCAAACAAAATCTACATTTTTGAAACTTGCTGGACCACAGCTCGTACAAATGTTCATTGGTGATGGAGCTAAGCTTGTTCGTGATGCATTTGCCCTTGCAAAAGAGAAAGCACCAGCAATAATTTTCATTGATGAATTGGATGCCATTGGTACAAAACGTTTTGATTCTGAAAAGGCTGGTGATCGTGAAGTGCAGCGAACCATGTTGGAATTGCTTAATCAGTTGGACGGTTTCAGTTCTACTGCAGATATAAAGGTTAGTGAACAGATTTAGGTTCCATTTCATAAGGAATGAAGATTATTGATTAGATGTAAAACAATTTCTCAATTGATTCGAAAACAAATTCAAATTCCAAAAGATTTTCAAACCTTTAAATCCTTTATGTATATTAATACAATTAGTAATAATAAATTTAGATGCAATATTGCCAAATTACAATAGTTTATTGTGAGTTTTATACTGTAAATAAATTAAGGAAATTTATTTTGTGTGTTGATGTGGATTATATGATCATAAACAACTTCAAAATTTCAAAAGAAAAGAAGAAATATAATAATAAAAAACAAGTGCAAGTTGATGAAAATTAGGAAACACATGTCATATATTTTTTAATATATAAATGCCATTGACTTTACTCAGTCATTCAATGTCTTGGTGTTTTTGTATTTATTTTTTTACTTAGATTCTCAAAAATGTGAAACAAAATTTTTCTGTAGATTATTTTAAGTAGAAACTGCAATTCTGAATATTTAACCTTTGTTCCTGGTTCTTTGCTGAGAACCATTTGTGATATGATTATTTTAATACATCTTTTGTTTTCTATTCATTAATTCTTAATGTTTTGTATTCATTAGGTTATAGCAGCTACTAACAGAGTGGATATTTTGGATCCTGCTTTGCTGCGTTCTGGCAGATTAGATCGAAAAATAGAATTTCCACATCCCAATGAAGAAGCACGAGCTCGCATAATGCAGATTCATTCACGAAAGATGAATGTCAGTCCAGATGTTAATTTTGAAGAATTATCTCGTTCAACAGATGATTTTAATGGGGCCCAATGCAAAGCTGTTTGTGTAGAAGCTGTAAGTAAATATTTTTCATCTTAACTATTGTATTAAGATTTTTTTCTTTTTAATATTTTTTTGGAATGCAATGTCTGTTTAAATGGTTTATTAAAATTTATTCTTGTTTAGGGAATGATTGCTTTACGGCGTAATGCAACCACTGTAACTCATGAAGATTTTATGGATGCTATCTTGGAAGTACAAGCAAAGAAGAAAGCTAACTTAAATTATTATGCTTAAATATTTTTTCTCTAATAAATGGCAAAAAATATGTTGTAAGTTTTGTCTTGATGTACCATTGTATAAAAGCTGTGTTGCAAAGGTGGTTTACTAAAAATAATTTTCTTAAGTAGCAATAGTGATTAATAACTTTTATAAAATGTCCATCAACAGTACATACTTCATTGTATCAAACATTTTTTTTTTTTTAAATTGGATCACAATCTCGAGTGTTAAAAATAAAGATTGCTAGTAAATACTGAATATAAATGAATTTCATTTGTTGGCTTTATGTTCGCATATACACTGTACTTCATATTAGTTTGTGCTATGTGGGGCAACATTGCAAATAGTTTTAAGTATATCAACGCCAAACAATGATAATTAGAATTTAGAAACAACCAAAATTTTTGTTTGAAATTCTTTATGATCCATCTATTATTTCTGCTTGAAATTCTGTACAAACAGAAATGGTGCAAATGTATGCTGTATTTTATGGAAAGAGCTACAACAATGACTGCTCTTTATGATTGTCACCAAACTAGCATGGAAGAAATATTGGTAGCTACTTGGCAGTCCAGGAGATGCCACATCCCAGGCACAGGTGCCAACATTTCGATCGCCATGCATTGTGACCTTCCCCAAGGCAAAATGTCCTGAGTAACACAGAAGATAGAAATAGGAGAAATATTGCTTATCGGATGTGATGCATCTGTTATTGTATTATAAAGTGACAAAGCAGTGCAGGCAGCAAACACACATTCCCGAATCACCAAATGTGAACCTAACTCTCCCAATTGTTCAAGCTCTCGGATGTAAAATTTGAGAGTATTTACGACAGCAATCCATTCATTCTTCTGGAACTTCTCTACCCATTCAAACCAGATGTGGTACAAAATGGTATAGATATTCTCATACTAGTTGGTTCTCCTTGTCTTTTTATTGGGGCTATGTTTAACAGCTTCCCCTCTTTTTGACTACTGTCTAGCAGCCTCTAAAGGACCTACATTATTATACCTACTGCTCCCATGGTGAAAATTATAAATTAATAGCACCCTCACGCTCTCCAAACATTGTGCCCAGATGCCTCTTAGGCCAATGTTGGTTCTTGGACCATTACATATATACCAGAGGTAGTTCATGACCCCATCTTGGTACTTGAGCCATAGCTCTAGGTGAAGAGCATAAAATCCTTTATTACAGTACCGGCAGTATGTAAGCAATTCTGACAATTCTCTCGACACATGCTGTTGTATGTCGTGTGACCCCACTGTAAAGCAATGAGCTTGCAAGGATTTGTTTACTTCCTCACAGCTGGCATTCAGCAATGCTGTTCATCTGATACACATGAACTCGCGGAGGTCTAATGTTTGGCTGCGGCGAAGTTATGAACATGATATCAAGATGTGTTGTCACCTGTCAGTAAGTGTTCATGTTTTGAGATTTATCAGTCATGTAGATGGTGCCATGAGCATAGTAATGCGTGTCAACAGCGCATCAAATTGTCAGAATTGCTTATACGCTGCCAGTGCTATAGAGACAGATAGCACACAAAAACATGCTTCACTTATCAGGGAACCCCAAAATGTGCATTTCCATTAAAACCTCTACAATGATTTTCCGTGAAATTATACAACTTTCTTCGTACTATGTGTAAGAGAATGTAATAATTCCATTATGTAATAGAATTTATGTTAAGCAATTTCTATTTAAGTATGAAAGTTGTTTGATAAGTAACTAGGTTCAATGTGAAAGACAATAATTTGAGTTTTGTAATTTACCGTTTCGATATAATCCACCCAATCCACTTGGTCCAATGTTTCTGCAGGTTCAAGATTGCTTTTCATTGCTCACAAATTTTTGTCCAGCCTGGAAAGATTTGAAGTTTGGGAACAAATGAAAGTCCAAGGGGGCCAAATCTGGTGAATAGACCAGATATGGAAGCAGTTGATAACAAGTTAAGTCAATTTTTGCTCAGCGAAATGCTGGTGCATTACTGTGATGGAACAACAATTTTTCCTTGCCATTCCAGGATGTAGCTTTTAGTTTGTCAAGAAGGGATGTATAGTGTTCTCCAGTGATGGTTTTTCTCTTTTGAAGGTAGTCTTTAAGAAGAATATCATTAGCGTCCCAAAAGACTTAATGCCATCACCTGTCCTGCTGATTGAGTGCATTTCACCTTTTTTGGAGCCGGTTCTCCTCTTGTAGTCCATAGATTTGTCTGTGGCCTTTATTCCAGAGTGTAAACGTCAATCCAAGTTTCATTCATGGTAACAAAATGGCACAAAATATCCGTTGAATTTTTCTTGAGTAGCTGCAAACGCTCAGCAGACGTTCACTAACAATTTTGTTTCATCTCTTCAGACAGCAATCGCGGCACCCATCTGGTGCAAAGCTTATTCATGCTCAATTCATGATGTAAAATTAAATGCACTTGGTCATTTGAGATACTTGTGGCCTCTGCTAACTTGTGCACTTTCACTCGCCTGTCTGCCAAAATAATATCTTGGATTCTGTTGATGTTTTTTGGTGTCACTGCTATTTTTGAGCCCTGGGTCGTGGTGCATCTTCAATGCTAGTACTGCCTCACTTCAATTCGTTGGCCCAAAGTCTCACACTCTCATAGGAAGGGCACAAGTCTCCCAGTGTAGGTGTTATCCTTTGATGGATTTTGTACATATTTTTACCTTCCATAAGTAAGAAATGGATAACTCCACAAATTGCAATTCTATCCATCTTTCATTCTGACTCGCAAACAACATGCGTTTAAATCCCTGTCTAACAATTAGTGAGTGTAATAATGATTTGCAACAATGAAATTTTACTCTACGTTGTTGATGCTTTAAATTCATATACACAGATGATACTGTTGTCATCTCTTAGTATGCGAACCAAGTTACTTATTGAAGGCCCTCTGTAAACATGATACCTAAGCATTAAAACTGGTTTAACTTTGACCAAAAGAAGACTCTGTGTCAATAGAGAATGAAAGTAATGGCATATCTCCCTAAAATATATAGATAATTGTTAGATTGGTTGACACATTATTGAATATAATAAACCTAATTTTATTGTAAATGATACTCCTACAGATGACTCATAAAGTACATAATGCTCAAGAGGATGTTAGTTTTGTGTTACATAATATTATTTATTTTTCAATATTTACAGAAATAATTCCTTTTAATCAGTCTTATACTGAGACAATACGAAATTTATTTAAAAATATATAAATACATTAAAAAGTTATGTATAAAATGTGATTTTTTTCCATCTTTGGCATTATTAATTAAATTGATTACATAACAAATAAATTATTAAAAACTTATCTCTAGTGCATTCTAGACTTCAATTAAATTAATGCAGGAGAATCCCACCTTGAGGTCATCCACAACAGGTCTGCTGGGCTTAGCAGAAATTTTAAATTCCATATACGTCCTTCCATCTCTGAAATATTCTCCCTACTCTTTTTTTAAGAGCTGCTGACAGAATTACAAACTAATTCTGGCCCGTGAACTGATTCTGTACTTAAGTTTTATTTAGCAGATGAAATTGAATGAGTTTAAATAATTTTTTTAATTGTATGTAGTTGCATGCCAATGGTATTTTTTAAACAGGCTGTTCACCTCCACTGCTGCTTTGTAGCACACCAAGTGACACCCAACGGCATGCTTTTGCTGGCAGTAATTGAAGGGGAGATAACGTGGTACCAAATCTTTATTTAAAAACTAATTTTAATAAATATTTCATTATTTTTTCACAATACATTGTTTTATTCGTATATTTGTAGGTTTTAAAGAAAATATTTTGATTATTTCAATAGATATTTTTTTTAATGTGATGGTGAATGGAAAAGAAAGCAGATTATATAGACCTCCCAGAATTCCGTAGTAAGCTGCATGTATACACCCGTTGGCGAAATTCGTGAGAGTTCTCGGAGTCATTGTTATTGTTCCAAGTACTGCGTATTGCGTGGTGATAATGGGGAAGGGACATTTCAGTGAGTTTCCTACCTCTTCCCCTCTTCATTCTTTCTGTATTAAATGAATCTAAATTCCGTCATTATCAAAATTGAAATCGGCACATGTTACTTTATCGTCTTACTTCGTAAGAAGAGAAAATCAAGTAGTCTTCTTTCGAAGAAAGGCGTGAAAGTAAAAAAGGAAATTTTTAATCAGTTATTTTCTCAAAACGGCTTTTGCTTTATATTTCTCCTCTTATGTATCAAAGGACGGTAAAATAAGTAATGCTGGATCCATTTTCGGCGAACTCTATGTGTAATCAAAAATAGCAAAAATGTAACATTGGAAAAGTACAATATTGAAGAGATAATTTTGCCTTCAATGAAATCGTTTCGAAACTAGTAGGGCAAAAATAGCACGTTCTGTCTCGCTCTTAGAAATGGTTATATAAAACCATACCACATTATCTCCGAACACATCCACGTATCTACACGTCGTACACATTACGCATTTTTTTGTAAAACTCATTACAAATAGCAGAAAATTTGGTGCGAAAACTAAATATTTTCAAGCAAATGTCACCACAAATTTGACAATTATAACTGCTTTTCATACAGCTAAATTCTGTCAACAATGAGACGTAATCCATAGAAATTCGCGAGTCGCCAAGCGGAATGCCATTGTTGCATTTCTATCTGATATTCTGTGAAGGCCAGCAATTTTTATTTCATATATTTCAAATAGGTTTTAAATAATTTATAAAAGATTTATTGAAAAAAAAAGAACAACAAAAGCTCGAATGTAAGAAACGAACGAAGAAATATGAAATAATACACAAATTCTAACTTATCTAGTATCCAACTGCCTGGAAATACTGTAAAAATTTAAAGCTAGGCGAAAATGTCCAGAAAAGTAATTATTTTGTAAATGTTTTGATTTTGTTGTTTTAAATCATAGCCTGTACTTCAGACCTTTAAAGGAAGCTAACACATCGCTATTAGTTCAGTAGAGACAGAGATTAACCCTCTGTAAGTCAACGCACTTCTGTCTTTATATACATAATCACATCGACAATAAAATCACATTCAAGCAAAAAATTCACAATCACTTCTTTCATACGTGCGCCGATCTCTGCAATTTTGTTGACTGAATGGTCATTGTCAAAACAAAATCGACCCTCTTTGTAATTCAAGAATTAAAAAAATCTTCGGCTTTGTACATTTTTTTAAAAACATGTATATTGACGCTCTGAACGGGAATTCAGAATTACGCCACCAGCCTCCATTTTATTTTATTTATAATTCGCGAAAAACTCATGTGAATTTTTTTGTAAATGTTTTGATTTTGTTGTTTTAAATCATAGCCTGTACTTCAGACCTTTAAAGGAAGCTAACACATCGCTATTATCGTTTGGTGTCTTGCAGCATTATACGAAGGGGGACTCAAAATAATCCTCGTTGTTATAAAAATAATATCTTATTTACAAAATTTCTTCAGCCATTTTCAGAGTACTCTCCATTATACGCAAAGTACTTGTCAAGTCTTTTTTCCCATCGTTTGAAGCACCTTTGGAACTCTTCAACTTTGATATCGACCAGGGCCCTTTGCGAAGCTGTTTTTATTGTCTCTGTTTCATCGAAACGCTTCCTTTTTAGATTTTCTTAATTATTGGGAACATAAAAAAGTCACCAGGAGCTAGATCTGGGGAATACGGGGGTGGCGAACGACAGACCACCCAGTTGTGTGCGGCTCACAGCGTCATTAAAAGCCTGTTGAAGCATTTGGTAAGCTTCTGTTGCCTATTTTTGAAATGGGAAACAAAATTTTAAAAACACTTAAGTTCTTTTAAATTTTTCATAACGATTTCTCAGGCGGAACACCAGAACAGTAAGAAAAAAAATTAAACTACGATCAAACTGTCAGATTGACGCCGTCTGAACAGAGGTTTCATGAAGGTCTCTATTAACTTCACCTAGCCGGAGTAGTCTCTAATGGTTCCCTCACATTGGCAAAAAGTTGGAAGAAAAATTTGAAGATGACTGTTTTGTGCAAAAATATTGAGAGTGTGAGGATAAATATTGTACAGAAAAAGGAGTATTCAATATTTTGTGGGGCGTTCAAAAGTTTTCTGATAGTTTTTATGGACCTACCAATATTTTGTAGCATGAGAGCGGAATGTGAGGGGACTGACAAAATATTGCGGAATATCTCATCAGTCTGCCTGGAGCTGTCGCCGCGTTAACATGAATGAACCAGCTGCGAAGAAAGTGATAGCAGGGAGGAAAAATAATTTCTGCTCCGATGTGTTGAGGTACGCAACATACATATTAGTTATTGTTTATAAGTAGTAACCAGTTCGAAGAATAAAAACATGTTTCAACCATCATTTTTGTAGATTTCATTTAGCCGTGACGAGGGGATGGTTGGGATTCCAAAAAATTAAACACCGCACACTTTACCATTGAGTTCACCATTGTGATTGTGTTTCATTAAACCTTAAGGCCCATGAAGGCGGCGTACTCTGTTATGAAGAGGGGGTAATAAATTTGTGCGATATTTTTTGTTTCACTCCCCTCCTCCCCTAAATTTTAGTAATAATTTTATGATGAACACCGCTTTCATGTATTCGAAAGTATTCAATTCCACATGTAGACACATTTCTTTAGTAGGTGTATAGGTCGCTTCCGGCCTTTTGGAAAGT